CTGGCTTTGTGGGAGCCTAGGCTGTTTGGATGCTCACCTTACTAGACCTGGAAGGAGGTGGGAGGTCCTTGGACTTCCCACAAGACAGGGAACCCTGACTGCTCTTCGGGCTGCTGAGGGAGTGGGAGGGAAATGGGAGGCGGTGGCAGGGAGGAGGCAGAAATCTAAAATAAATAAATAAATAAATAAGCTTATAATTTCCGAATAGGTAACACAGTCACAGAGCTAAAACAAAAATTCAAAGCGCTGAAAATCTGAATGCCTCCCTTCATAGCCCCCTCCATATCTACCCCTCAACCTTGTGCTCACAGAGGTAACAGCTTATATTCATTTTTCCACATTCGGAATGGTCTTTTGCAAACTCAGAAATCTACCTCTGCCTCCTGAGTGCTGGGATTAAAGGAACTCAACACCACCACCCAACCAGAATCCCTTAAGTCTGTGGGGGCATGCATGCCATGGTAAGAGTGTGGCGGTCAGAGGTCAGCCTGTGGGAGTGAGTTCCCTCCTTCTCTGTGGGTTCCAAACATCAAACTCAGGCTGCCAAGCTGGCAGCAAGCAACCTTCTTGAGCCGTCTTCCTAGTCCCCATAATTCCCCTTTGTGAAAAGAAGCACATTGCATGGAACACATCACTGCGTTTTCACTTGCTGTGTTTTAGGCACTCTCTCTGCCATCTGCAGCAAATGGGCAGAAGTAGAGGACACCATGTCAAGTGATGCTATGGGACAATGGTCTTTCATCCTGTCACTTGTATTATGTTTAATAAAATGCTGATTGGCCAGTAGCAGGCAGGAAGTAGAGGCAGGGTGACCAGGCAGAAAATAGAGGCAGGGCAATGAGAACAGGAGAATTCTGGGAAGAGGACACAGTCCACAGTCGTGACCCAGCCACAGAAGAAACAAGATGTGACTGCCTCGCCGAAAAAGGTACCAAGCCACGTGGCTAACATAGACAATAATAACGGGCTAGTTTAAGATAAAATTAATTGAAAGAAAAGTCTGATCTACTAGGCCAATTCGTTTATGATTAATGTAGACATCTCTGTGTTTATTTGGGACTAAACAACTGTGGGACCTGGTGAGACAGAAACCTCTGTCAACAAAGTGAGAGAAACTGAGCACAGAAAGATGAGCACCACAGGTTTCTTCTCATATGTGGAAGCTAAACAAGATTGCCCTGACAGTAAGATGGAGATTTGCTAGAAGTTGGGAAGGATGAGGAGGGATTGGAGATAAAGGGAAGCTGGTTCAATTAGTGCCCACCATACGCATGTGTGGGAATATTACACCACAGGGAACCCTTGTACCATGTACAATTAATACATTTCCCTTTTCTTTCTTTTTCTTCCTTCCTTCCTTCTTTCTTTTTTCTTTTCTTTTCTTTTCTTTTCTTTTTAAAGACAAGGCCTCACTGTAGCTTAGCTGGCTAGGAACTCATAATGTTACCTAGGATGGTCTCAAACTCACAGATACGTGCCTGGATCTGCCTCCTGGGCTCTGGGATTAAAGGAGTATGTCACTCCTTAATACATCTTTTTCTTTCTTTTGGTTTTTCAAGACAGGGTTTCACTGTGCAGCACTGTCCTGGAACTCGCTGTGTAGACCAGGCTGGCCTTGAACTCACAGAGATCCGCCTGTCTCTGCCTCCCAAGTGCTGGGATTAAAGGCACGCGCCACACTGCCCAGCTCCCTAATACACCTTAATAAGAAAATAATAATAATAATAATAAAAAGTAGACCTAAGGCACAAAGTTAGTGTAATATGGTTTGCAGAGTGGCAGCTCACGGAAAGTGCAAATGATCAATCCACAACATAAAAGTTCAGGGAGCTGAACATGGCATCAGTAACAGCTCTGCAGAGCTCATTCAGCCAGAGGCAAACAGCAAAGATCCTACTGGGGACCAGGAGTTGCTCCAAAGTTTTGAGCAAATTACTCAACTGAGTGTATTAAAATGTTTCAACCTTGCTTTTTTGATCCCATCTACCTGATGCATTGCTGAGTGTCAGGGAGGCAAAAAAACAAAAACAAAGAAACAAAAAACCCCAACAACATCAACAAAAAAACCCAAAACCCAAAACTCAACAAAAACAAAACAAACTAGCAATTTGGCCTGGTGTAGTGGCACATTCCTGTGTTCCCAGCACTCAGAAGTGGAAGGTAGAAGGGTCAAGAGTTCAAGGCTAGCCCGAGGTACAAAGCGAAACTGTCTTAAATGGTTCTCAACCTTCCTAATGCCGGGACCTTTTAATACAGTTCCTCATGTTGTGGTGACCCCCAACTATATAATTTTTTTTGTTGCTACTTCGTAACTGTACCTTTGCTGGTGCTATGAATCAGAATGTAAACATCTAATATACAGGATATCTGGTATTTGACACCCCCCCCCCCCGCAAAGGGGTTATGACCCACAGGTTGAGAACCACTGGCTAAAACAGAAAGGGCTCAGTGGTAAAACACCCACCTAGCATGGGCGCTTGGTCTGGGACATCCTTTGCGACTATGGTGCAAACACATTGTCTTTAAAGTGCTTCTGACTGAGCTGGCTTTGAGTCTTTTGAAGAAAAGAATCCTTAGAAATCTGAATATTTACCAGGGGATAGCTGGAGCCATTCCAGCACATCTATAAAGGATATTATGCAGCAATTATATGATATATATATATATGTTTTTATTCGCAGGCGTGTCCACAAAATATTCTTTAAATTTGAAAAGCAATGTTTCACTTATTTATATTTTTACCTCACAAGCAAATAAATTTCATGTATTTCTTCTTTATACCAATTCTTTGCATGTATTTACATAAGACTGGAACCAATGACTTTTAGCCAGAGGTGATGTTGACCCCCAGGGTATATATAACACAGGGCACTGACAGAAGAGGCTTTCGTTGTCACCCTGGAGAATGCTAGGAGGCAGAGCTTCCAAATCCCACAATACCCGAAGGACAATCTCAGCTCCCGCTGCTTCAAATCCTTTCCTGACCCAGATTCTTAATTGTGCCAAGGCTGAGAACGTTTGGCTTGGAAGGGGAGGCCCAAAGAATAAATGCCAAATTGCCAATGTTTTCCTTACATATTTGTGTTATGTGATTTATTACAATGTGCTTTTATTTTGAAAATTGTGGTGGTTTGAAACAAAATGGTCCCCATAGGCTGATATATTTGAAGGCTTGGTCATTACAGGGTGACTCTATTTGACAGGGATTAGGAGGTGTGGCATTGCTGGAGTAGGTGTGGCCTTGTTGGAGAAAGTGTGTTTCTGGGGTGAACTTTAGGGTTTTAAAAGCTGAAGCCTGTGGATCCAGAGGTAGAACTCTCAAGCAACTTCTCCAGCACCATGGCTGGCTGCATGCCACCTGTTCTTCGCTATTATTATGAGAATGGACTAAACCTCTGAAACTGTAAGCAAGCCACAATTAAATGCTTTCTTTTGTAAGTGTTGTCATGGTCATGCTATCTATCTCTTCACAGAAATAGAACACTAAGACAACTAAAAATTACCTTATAAGGTAAGAAATACTATTTAATAAAAATGGATTGTTTTGACCAAGACAGTGATGAAACAGGAGTTGCAGATTGTTCCCCAAGGGGCAGAGATGTCAGTGGAGGGTGGATAGAGCTGGAGGCAGGAAAGGATGGTAACACCCTGCAGCCTGGTCCTGAAGCTGGTGTTATGTACACGATCTTGTGTGTGTGTGTATGTGTGTGTTTATGTGGGTGCATATGTATGCTCATGCATATGGAGCCCAGAGGTTGACCCCATGATGCCCTTGATTGTTCTCCCTGTTATTTTTTTGCAGCAGAGTCTCTCACCAAACATGGAGCTCACCATTTTGGCTAGAGTGGCTGTTCAGTCAGTCCCCAGGATCTTGCTGCCTCTGTTTCCCAATGTTAGTATTACAGGTATAGGCTGCTGAACCCAGCTTTATGTGGGCACTGGAGCTCTAATTCAGGGTCCCATGATTACATTTTATTAACTGAGTCATTTCCCAGCCTCCACACATCCGATCTGTTGACTAGAATGAGAGTCAAATTTTCTTGAACCCAACAAACCCTGACAAAATTCTCCTATTTCTAGGGAATATTCCACAACATGAACACAATGCTCGGCCCAGGACGTGGCCAGTGTCTGCAAATCCTCTAGTTGTCCCGCCGTGAGTTTTTACCCTTTACCTGTGTGCAATGGGGAGCAATGGGAGATGTTTTCTGTCTAAATTAGAGGCCTCTGTACCTATTGTGGTTTCTGTCTGCATTATTAACTTTCCTTCCTCCCTCCTCCTAGTATCTTCCTCATTGGTCCATAACCTCGCAGAACGGCTACCAGGAGGTGCCCTGCATCCCCATCCCTGGAGCCAACACCATCACCTCCAGTGGACACTGCTGTAGGAAGAAACTGAGCCTTTAATCCCGGCAGAGGTAGCCAGATGTCTGTGAGCTCGAGACCAGTCTTAATGTACAAAGCGAGTTCCAGGTCAGTCATGGCCGACTGTACTCTGCCAAAAAATAAAAAACAAAACAAAAAAAACAAAAACAAAAGAAAAGAAAAAGAAATTGAGGCCAAAACTGTGGGTAGGTCCTGCCAAATTCTGACAGGGTGGAACAACGTAGCAAATTGGTGATGGCTAATGTTCTGCCAGAAGACCCGAACCCGCGGATTAACAGGCATAGCCAACAAAACCGTCTTCCTGAGCTCATGTATCATTTGTGGTCCTGACTGGGGGGAACTTAAGCTTCCAACAGCCCCTCCCCCCCCCCCCCCCACACACACACCACAGGAACTGCTATGTGGCTGGGACACAGAGGCGCGAGCACGCAAGCGGAAAGCCGCTCGCTAGCTGTCACGGTGACTAACGTCACGCCTCCGAGGCTGAGGGAGTCTGCGCGGCGGGCGAAGGGGCCGAGCTGCTCATGCGCAGCACCTACCTTAGCTTCTTGGGCGGGCGGGGGGAGGAAGCGGAAGACTGACTGGACATTGACAGACGCCAGTCACCGGAAGTCCCGCCTGTCTTGCCGAGCCTGTTCCCGGAAGTGCATCTACTTGTCTCCAGCGAGATGGCTTCAAGGTTACTTCGGGGAGTGGGCGCTCTGGCGGCTCAGGCTCTGAGGGCCCGCGGGCCCCATGGCGCGGTTGCGACGCGCTCCATGGCTTCTAGAGGTACGTGAGGGAGCTGGGCGCGCCAGGTCGGTGGCCTCGGGGGTGGTTGATGACGGCGCGGTCGAGCGGGGTGGGCCATTGAGCTCGTCCTAGCCCCGTGGACCACCTTGCGTTCCGGGAGCCTGCGCTCGGCGCGGTCTGGCGGTGATTTCGGCTGCCCACCCGATTGACCGCTTCTAAAGTGCACTGACTGGAAGGTGCCGGGTGACCTTGGGAGACAGGGACGGTTGGAGAGATGAGAAAGGGCTGGACCGACATCCAGATTCCTTGCCCACCTCCAGCCCATACGCTCTCATTGATTTGGTTTTAGAAACAAGCTTCGGCGGTTGGTGGGGAAAACATCCCATAAGGCGTTGGGAGTCATGACTCAGAGGGCCGAGGGGGCTATGGAAATGGGTAACTTGGGAGCCCACCAAAGAAGCTTACAATGTCACCTCTCCCGTGTCGGTCATTTTCGCCTGTATTCATCATGGTCCTATTATGAATTATTGATACAATCCATTTTACTTCTTGCAGGTGGTGGTGTTCCTACTGATGAGGAGCAGGCTACAGGGCTGGAGAGGGAGATCATGATAGCCTCAGAGAAGGGACTGGTGAGGGAAAATTCTCGGTATCCTCTGGAGCCCTTGGACTTGGGCGGGATCACAGGAGTCTGCTGTCAGCCAGCATTTGGTCCCGGAAATTCGACTTGTAGGAACAGCCCCTTTGAAGTGTAGTGGCCGGGGATGTCTGTGATGTATGTCATAATTAGTCCATCCATGTCTTTTTCAGGATCCGTACAATATGCTACCTCCGAAGGCAGCTTCAGGCACCAAGGAAGATCCTAATTTAGTCCCGTCCATCAGCAACAAGCGGATAGTGGGCTGCATCTGTAAGTACCTTGCCTTTGGTTTCTGGCCTGTTTGTTTATGTCCTGCTACACAGAATAGAATGTTTGTAAATCACTTCAGATACATGCATGTTACTGACTGTATGTGCACAGAAATACTCATGAACACTGTTGTAAGGGTTCTGACTGTCCCGATCCTCAGTGAATGTGAGAGGCCACCGGAATCAGATGCCCCTGGGGCTGTAGTTACACACAAGGTTGTGAGCCGGCTGTGTGGATGCTGGGAATTGAACTCAGGTTCTTTGGAAGAGCAATCCATGCTCTTAATTGTTGAACCATTTTTCCAACCCAGATTATTTATATATATAGTATAAACCTTAAATATAAATATATAATATATATAAAACAAGTTGTGTGCCAGGCACTAAGGATTCAGATCAGTGCTGCTCCTGCTGCTTTGGGATTCTCCGCAGAGAATGGAATTGTGAGAGCCTGCAGTGACCCTGATACAGGGTATTTCACTCATAGGTAAACTCTGCCCACTGTTTCATCTGAAAGAGCAGAGCTTGCAGTGATCTCTCAGAGTCAACTGCAGTTTTGTCTCTGAAGTGTCTGTAGGGAAGAGGTGCTGGAGCTGGACGGCTGTCAACCACTCTTTCCTTTCAGGTGAAGAGGACAACTGTACCGTCATCTGGTTTTGGCTGCATAAAGGCGAGACTCAGCGGTGCCCAAGCTGTGGAACCCATTATAAGCTGGTGCCCCACCAACTGGCCCACTGAGCCCTGCGTTAACTTTTCAGAATGTGATGGAAAACTTCCCTCCAATAAACTAGCCGTTGTATTGGCTCCTCCCATAGGTGGCTAGTCTTTCTGTAGTTTTTGTTTTGTTTTTTTTTGAGACAGGGTTTCTCTGTGTAGTCTTTGCTGTCCTGGGACTCTAGACCAGGCCGGCCCTGAACTCACAGAGAACTGCCTGCCTCTGCCTCCTGAGTGCTGGGATTAAAGGTATGCATCACCACCACCACTACTGCCCAGCTTCCATAGATATTTTTGCATTGTGATCAGCTGTTTCTTAATACTGGCTTGACATCTACTTAGAATGTAAAACCAGTATGGAGTTGTTTTATTTATTTATTTGTTTGTTTGTTTATTTGGTTTTTCGAGACAAGGTTTCTCTGTGTGGCTTTGGTGCCTGTCCTAGAACTAGTTCTTGTAGACCAGGATGACCTTGAACTCACGGAGATCTGCCTGCTTCTGCCTCCCTAGTGCTGGAATTAAAGGTGTGCACCACCAGAGCCTACCTGAGTTGTTAGATTTTTATTTTTAAAAAAAATTTAAATTTTAAGTTTTTTTTTTTTTTTTTTAGTTAATTTTTTTTTTTTTTTTTTTTTTGGAGACAGGGTTTCTCTGTGGCTTTGGAGCCTGTTCTGGAACTAGCTCTTGTAGACCAGGCTGGTCTCGAACTCACAGAGATCCGCCTGCCTCTGCCTCCCGAGTGCTGGGATTAAAGGCGTGCGCCACCATCGCCCAGCTAAATTTTAAGTTTTATATGAAAAAATAGAGGAGGAAAAATCAAGGGAGATTTTGAAGGGTGAACAATGGCAGTATTTGAACCTTACTTGGGTCTTGATGTTTTTGTTTTTACAGTGCTAATGATTGAATAACTGGGCCACATGCTACTGAGCCACCTTCCAACCCTGAACCTAGATTTAGGGGAAAGACATTGGGGACTGTCACTGACTTCTGTACCTATCTGTGGTTCCCAAGTCTGCCTACCAAGTTTAAAGGAGAAAGGAGGGGGAAGGGAGAGATGCACTGAGCTGGCCACAGCCGTGCCATTTATAGTCCCAGTTACTAGAGTCAGTGTGGGGATCACCTGAGCCTAGGCCACATAGACAGACCTTGACCCAAAATATTTTAAACTCAGCATTGACATTAGGTCGTCACTAAATTTTCAAGTGTGAGTTTTTCTTCTCCAGAAGGACCCATGGAAAAAAGAATTGGGAAGGAGAGCAATAACTCACCTCAGCCACCATGTTTATGATGTGTTGGTAAAATTCACAAAACAAATTTCTGTAAAATGGAAATATCTCTTCATTTTATGTTGAAATTTGCCAGACATGGCTTTCTTTGCTATCTCCTAAACTGGTTCAGCATACATAATTCTGGGTTTGAACTCAGGGATGGAGAGCCTAGGAGAAAGGCCCTTTCCCGATCTTGCTGACCTGTTTGGAAGGTGTAATCTAAACTACTGCTCTAAATGTGAGTGATCGTCTCTGCTTCCGGGTGCTCAGGCATTGATTGGCCGCAAGGCCTTTCCTGTTGGAAGGGGATCCCACACGCTACTAGGTCTTACTCCGACAATCCCACCTTAAATTCTATTACCACTGTTGTACCCCGAAAACTTGAGGTGCTGCTGGGAAGCTCTCCTTGTACACACTTTTCTTTCCGTTCCTTCAACCTGCATAAAGTGAGCTAGACCAGAAGTCAGCCTGTGCTCTCCTGGCTTCTCATTTCCAAATCCTCCTTGCTGTTTTTCTTTGAAGGATTGTAACCAGTACAGAAAGAAAAGTCTCCAGGACATTTACAGGCTGTGGTGGGCAGAACAATGATCCTCTCAAGATGTCCACATCTTAAGCCCCAAAACCTGAAATGCACAGAGCAAGCGGGAATTGAGGTTGTGGGTGGAATTGAGTTTGCTGACCCTAAAACTAGGGACAACTGACTGTCCATCTTTCAGGTTCAGCAGGTAATGTATACCACCTGCCCAGCCTGATGACCTGAGTTCAATCCCTGGGATCCACGTGGTGGAAGGAGGGAACCAGCTTCATTAGTTTTTCTTTGTGTGCTGTGGCATACATGCACACTAAAATAAATACCTTAAAAATTAGATTTTGGATTATACATGTGGAAGGGAATGGGAGACCTAATGATACTGATTCAACACAGGGAAGAGGTCTTGAGCCAAGAATGCTAGTGGTCTCTAAAGGAAGGCAAGAGAGTGATTATTTAGTCTCCAGATATGAAGGCCTGTGGATACTTTGATTTTAGCCCAGTGAGACCCATGTTAAGCCGATATGTAAGATCATAGATTTACGGGGCTGGAGAGATGGCTCAGAGGTTAAGAGCATTGCCTGCTCTTCCAAAGGTCCTGAGTTCAATTCCCAGCAACCACATGGTGGCTCACAACCATCTGTAGTGAGGTCTTGTGCCCTCTTCTGGCCTTTGGGCATACAGACAGAATATTGTATACATAATAAATAAATATTTTAAAAAAAAGATCATAGATTTACATTCTAAGTCACTACATTTGGGATTAACTTTTTATAGCAGCAATAAGAAACTAAAACAGACTGCTAAATTCCTGAGTCTATAGGTCTTAGCTGAACTTTGGAATCACCTGAAGATCTATAAATCTTAGGACCCAGGCCATACTAGACCACTGAAGCATAGTCTGTGGGGTGGACCTGGGGGAGCAGAGTTCCCCAGGGGCTTCTAGTCCGCAGCTACAGTTGAGAACTACACTAGGCTAGTCAGCGTGGGCTTGAGGAGCTCCTCCTGTACCTCCTTGGACTATTTGGGATAAGAAAAAACTGCGGTGTTCTGACCAAGAGGGCTAAATTTCAGGTTCTGCATCCAAGAGGGTTTGTCTTGTGTCGCCAAGGAAACATACAGACTTCATTACAGGTTTAGGAATAAACATTTCCAGAACCCCTTGGAAATTGCCAATCTGGTGCTCTGTCATACAGGTGTAGCATGGTTTTTTGTTTTGAGACAGGTCTCATAACTGATGGTCTAGAACTCCTGTGTAGACCAGGCTGGCTCAAACTCAGAGATCCACCTGCCTCTCCTGAGTGCTAGGATTAAAGCCATGTTGCCACCATACCTGGTGTGTATTTTTGTTTTTGTTGTAATATTCTGTGTGCATGCATGCATGTGCAGTGTTTGTGGGCACATGAGCCACTGTATACACATGGTAGTCAGAGGGTAACTTTGTGAAGTTGGTTCTGGCCTTACACCTTTATATGAATTTGAAAGATTAGTTCAGAACATCAAGCTTGCGTGGTGTCTTTACCCACTAAGTATCTTTACCCACTGAGCCATTCTTTTGTTCCTTCTTACAGACTTTACTTAATCCCTTCAATATGACTATCAAAAATCAGGAAGGTAGTTTATATATTTCAATCACCTAATCCTTAGACAGGAAGTTTTCCTAAATGTTCATTAGACTTGTGTGTGTGTGTGTGTGTGTGTGTGTGTGTGTGTTTGAGAGAGAGAGAGAGAGAGAGAGAGAGAGAGAGAGAGAGAGCGCACTGTGTAGCCCAGGCTAGCCTCAAACTCAAAACTGTGTGTCAGCCTCCTCCTGGTTGCTGGAATTAACAGGTCTGTGTCACCACACCCAGCTATTCAGTGTCTTTTCCATCAAGGGGTTCAGTTCAGTCATATTATCATCCATTGTAATGTCTGGGGCAATTCCTACCTTACTCAGTCTTTTGACATTGTCAGTGGTTTTTAAATTTAAAATTTTAGAAACCAACCCGACTCTGATTTGTGCTATCAACTGGAACACAGTCAACCTAACAGGTAAAAAACAGACTCTTCCCCTACCCCAGGTCATCAGCTGTCCACAGTCCGAATGAGGGTTCGTGATGTTTCCGCATCACACCACAATCTTGACTGACCTGATCTTGTGCAGGCAGTCAGAGCTGCTGGGAGTTCCCGAGTGCACTGGTCCTGTCACATTCAGAAGACACTGGGACATTTAGTCCTTCCCAACTTCTGGCTCTTACAAACTTTCTGCCCCTCTTCCATGGTAGTCAGTGAGTCTTGGGGATGGAGAGTAATAAGCAGATGTCATCTGTGGCTTAGCACTGTAGTCACTTAGTGACTTTGTCTTAACCATCACCTACTATACAAACTAACTTCTCTGTTGAGGTCTGAGAGCTGTTCTAATCTATGGGTAGACAGAAGGGAATTTGATACTGTCCTTTTTGCAAAATGGTAGCAGTAGGTTCACCCCTGGGGTCAGTGAGCTTCCCCAGCCTTGGGTGCTTGGGACAGATTTGCAGCATCCAGGCATGCATTTCTTTATGCAGTCAGGAAAGTGGTTGGTTACTCGCCAAACATTGGTGTCACTATTGCCCCCAGGGGCATCTCTTGCTAATACAGTCATTCCAGTTCTGGCTAAGACTTCTCTCCCCAGTACTTTCCAGTGCAGACAGTTAGCCAGGAAACTTCCTGGTCAGTTACAGTTTGATTTTTACATGTCCTTTGACCAATGTGTGAGTATCTTCAGCAGAAAGACCTAACCATCAAGTACTGGGGACAGCCAAAAGTGAGCAATAGCCTGTATTGTCATTGTTTTGGGACCGCACAGACACCAACAACTTGAGAGGAGGTATCCTACACATGAACTCAGGCCTTCAAGTGCACAGCAAGTACTTTATCAACTGTGCCTTCTCCCAGCCCTTAGTCACATATCACTAAGGAATCCAATATTTTATTGGTTTATAATACATTAAAGATTGGAGCATTGGGGGCTGCTTCAACTTAGCCCACACGTTGCTTAGATAAGTCACTTGAGTTCTTACTTTCTAGTGTCACAAGACATAGGTGTATCTTGAGCTTCCCTTTATGGAACTGAAGGACACACCTGGATGCAATGCTCATGGTCTAATTCTAGACCCTCCAAGCAGAGGTAGGAAACCATGTATATATTCTAACCTGGCTTGCCTGTACACAGATGAGTGTTTCAGCATTAGTAGAATACAACCAGGAGTTCATACCTGTAACTCAGTACAACACAAACTTAGTCTAGCTGCTTCCTGCCTTGGCTGTAGCTCTTTTCCATCACAG